AATTATCAAGGGCTCATGAGGGAGGGGGGAGCGGGGAGGGAGGGGAAAAATGAGGACCTAATGCTGGGGGCTTAGGTGGAAAGGAAATGCTTTGAGAATGATGAGGGCAACGAATGTACAAATGTGCTTCACACAATTGATGTATCTATGGATGGTGATAAAAGTTGTATGAGCCCCTAATAAAATGATTAAAAAAAAAAGAAGATGTGGCTTTTATCTGACCTTTGTTTTTTTTTAAAGGCACTCCAAATGAGACCAAGATAAAGGTTTGCAGCCATTCATTGATGGCATATGCATGTTTATGTGCATTTTGTTTGGAGTAAACCCATGCATGTATAAACTGAAGTCCTAGAAGAAACATGATTTTTGTTAAGTGTTTCTGACTTACCCTGGCACGTGGTTCTTGAGGAAGCCTGAGCCTTGCTATGTTGGAAGAATACATTCAAGTTTGCAACAAAATAACTCTGAGATTAGAAGTGCAGGAAAAGTTTACAGTGTTGTTCATATGTCAGAAACACGACTATTATGAGTGTAGATAGCTGACCGAGGGCGAATGGCTGGCAGAATGGAATTGTGAGTGGACCTAATCAGAAAAGCAGCTGAAGAAATACTGGCTAATATAAAAGTCTGATGGAAAACCAGACAGATCAGGTAGTTTCCAGGTTAAAGCCAGTATTACCTGTGAAATATGAGGCAAATCATCTACTGAGAGAGGCCAGCGTTGGGGAAGAAAAAGCAATGTAAGAGAGTATATATCCCTTTGATACTTTGCAAATATTCTTTGGGGATGGCATAGAAGGGGAATTCAGGAATAGCGCATCAGAGGGTGGCTGAAGAGCATCAGAGCACGGCGGCGGCTGGAGACCACAAGCAATTCGTAGTCACCACTGGCGCTTTCGTGAAACTTCCTTCTGCAGGGTGGGTATTCACTGCCCTCCATTCAGTTCTACCTTGTAATGATCGTACAGGACAGGGCACTGCTGCCTCTGTGGGTCTCTGAGATGGTAAATCTTATGGCAGTAGAGAGTTTCATCTTCCTCCCTCCGAGTCCTTGGTGGTTTCGAAGAGGTAATTTTACAAGCAGCCTGTCACAGTCCCTTACACCACCAAGGCTCTGTGGTGCAGGTACAGGTGCAGATAAAGGGACGCGTGGATCTATTTGATGGAATCACCACAACAGACAAGGAGATACAGAGAAGGGCGTTGTTGCCATCGAAAAGTTAAATGGCATGCCACTTTGGACAGGAAATGATATGTCAATTGTACAGAAAAATGGTGATGCCTTTAAAGTAGTATAGACAGGAAGCTGTCAGATGATGGTGAGGAGAGGGGAGAGAACCTAAAGCACTTCGCAGGAGGAAAATGCTACACGTGTCAACTAATAATCTGGATACAGTCATGGAGACTTAAAACAGAACATATCCTATACTTTGGAGTTGTCTGATAAGTGAACCATATGAAAGTGAATTTTTAGCTTGAGAGCTGTTCAGAAAGTGCTATGGGGATTGCTCTTTATTGTGAATAGATTCTCCATGTAGGAGAGATCGTGTGTGATGAGGGTCCCAGAAGAAAGGGTAAGGTTTCAGTAGTAATAGGAATGATGGGTGGGGGGGAAATCTAAATAATTCTCTTTATATTAGAAAAGGAGGGTGAGTTTACTAGAGGCCCGCATCTCGACTGGTGGCCAAAGAAATGTGGGAGGAGAAAGCATTAGACGGATAAGTCTTACTCCAGAAATGTCTAATCAGACTGAGTAGTGCAAGAGCCTTATGAGGTTAGCAATGTAGAAGCTTTACTTATCATCTAAAAGGAATGTTGCTGAGAAATTATGTGATATTTTGGAAAAGAGCCCTTCCTCGCGCTGTTAAAGTAAAATTGCATCTATACTCACTCATTCTTTATCTGAAAAAGTTATTTATTTGGTTATTCATGGTCAGTCTTACCATGCATTCATTAGAAGTCTGGGCACAATGTGGTGGAAATAAAATAAAAGCCCTTCATTCTTGCCCATTAGGAGCTTCTTCTCTTATTAATGGCATGATAAAATGCATACAATTTACCTCAAATCTGTGGGCTTTGGAAGAAGTCTCTTTTTTCCAGCAAAGTAGACTTCAAAATCTTCCACCTTCAGCCTGTGGGCATAGTCGATGTAGCCTGACACCTCTTGTCCGTGAGCGTTTTTGTCACGAATAAAGATCACAGACTGGAAACACAAAACAGAGAACTTAGAGTAAGTGAACAAAACTCACTTGAGAAAAATATATCTACTAAAAAGAGGTACAGTTATGGAGTATTACATGCTCCAGGGATGATTCTAAACATTTTTCATTGCATTCTCACAACGATTCTATGAGGTAGGCATTTTTATCTTTCTCTGACAGATGAGGAAACTTCCAAAGGGTTAAGTGAATATGCAAATATGTTCTGAATTTCCTAGTATAGACAAGTTAGTGCTTCCATTGCTTTATCAGCTTGCTGAAACAGTTCACTTGCTATTCCATCAATGCCTGGAGCCTCGCTTGTGGCTAATACATTCAGTGCCGCTTGAACTTCTTCCCTCAGCACCACTGGTTCTTGCTCATATGCTACTTCCTGAAGTGGTGGCATGTGGACTTATACTTTTTGGCACAGTGATGCTCTGTATTCGCTCCATCTTTTTTTGATGAATCATTGAATATTTTATCCATAGATGCTTTCCAGATTGTTTGTTAGTCTAAGCTTGAGTTTTTTCTTGAGCTCTCTGTTTCAGATATGCTGAATGTGTTCTTCCCTCTTGGTAATCTCACCATAGGGCTTGTACATTTCAGTATTATATTATCATACCAAGCTTCCCTTTGGAATGTTCAACTCTTTGACTTCACACTTTTTCCCATTTGCGTTATGTACAATTAAGAGCAAATATCAGAGTCTCTTCTGACATCCATTATGATCATTTCTTTCTTTCCAGTCTTTTCAATGACTTTTTGCTTTCTTTTTTTTAGTT